GGGCCGGGGGCAGAGCGGGGCCCGCAACGAGGCGGAGATGGCGTCGCAGCCGCCGCCTCCCAAGCCCTGGGAGAACCGGCGGCTGGCGGGCACCGTGGCGCCGGCCTTCCAGTGAGTGCGTGCGTGCGCGCGCCCGCGCCGACCCCGACCCCGACCCCGGGTTTCTCCTGCCTGTGGCGGGCTTGGGCGTTCGCCCCCTCAGGGCGGCTGCGCCTCTCCCGCCTTCGCCTTCTCCCCTGAGGCGAGCTCAAAGGTCGGGCCCAGCCGGGCAGTGCCTCCGCGAGCCAGCGGCTGAGCAGAGCTTGAGGGGGTTTGTCGGTTTGGGTGGCCCAGGGGGGTGGGGTTCCCTGCTGGGGTGGTTTGGGGTCGTTTGCCCTGCTTTGTGGAGGGGTTGTGTGCCGGGCGGGTGCGCGAGCGAGCGAGGGGTCTCCGGTGGATTCCCCCTTCTCGGTGGGGAGAGGGAGTGAGAGGCTCCTGAAGGGTACTGGTCTCAAACCCTACTTGTGTCTGTAGAAAGCCGCGCGCTTAACGCGGTGAAGGTAAAGCTGTACGTGTTGCCACGAGTGGACAGAGTGCGGGTGTCCGTTCCTGGGCGTTATATAGCTCTGTAAGTGTGCGCGCCTCTGTAGGAAGCTGCGGGTCGTCCCCAGGAACTGGAGAAGATGCATGTGTACGTCTGTCTCAAGTGCGTTAAGCCGGGAGTCTGAGCTTTTCCAGAAAATCCAACCTGCTCAGGGAGAAGGATGTTGTACAGAATGTGTTTGTAAACGCCTTCCTTTTTATCAGAAATCAAGGAGAGCTTAGTGGTTGAAGATCAGTCTTGTTTTTTATTTGGTGCTAGCGACTGCAATTAGAGGGAGCTGGAACTGGGCAAAAGGTTAGCCCAAGACTAAACAGAAACTTCGCTGCTTTCACTGCAAGCTGAAGCTTGCTGAGCAAGAAATTTGATGTTAATTTTTCTTGCTGGGGTTATCTAGCTCATTTTAAATTGCTTCAAGCAGCTTTAAAGTGAGGTGGCTTAAGTTGACTATTGGGGAGGGGACTGTAGTGTGACTTAGTAGGTTACAGTACCTCTGTTTTCTGTGATAATAACTGATTTTTGCTTCTGTTTTTAGCTGCTAAGAGAGTTAAAGTCTATGATGGAAAAAACAAACAGTGTAAAGATATAAATATTATTCCTTGCTGTGGAAGCCTCTAAGGTTTGCTGAGAGGAAGTTGTACCCTACCTTTTACAGAAAAATTACAGCAAGCATGCTTCACACAGAAAGCATTGTAGAAAGAAGCAGCTCCATAGCAATTCAAACTTGACTTTTTGTCTGGGTTTTTTTTCTGTGAATTTAATGGACTAAATAAGTGGCAAGTCATGGGATGAGGCAGTAAACATGGAGATGACCAAAATGTTTTACTTTTAGCATGATAATATGTGATTAACTTTTTAATGAAACAGCAAAAGTTGGACAGCTGCTTGACAGAATTCAAACTGGTACTGGTACTCCACTGGTGCGTAGTACTTGCAGTCTTATTACAAAAGGGGCATAGATAAAATTACTTAAACTTATGGTCATACAAAGGGATAAAAGTTTACTAATTTAAAAACAAATAATTGACTCATAATACCTTTTTCTGCCAACAGTTAACAGTAATAGATTCAATCCCTTGACAGGCTACATAAAGGTAATGAGATAGTTTGGGTAGAGGGGGAAATTGGGGGACCTAAAGCCCTTGCTTATGTTGTTGTATAATTACTTGGATTCTCAATTAGGTCACGCCACCCTTTTCTCTAGGGGTGGGTTCAGAAGAGCTCTCAAACTTCCTTCCTGCTGTATCATTGGCTCATTGTATTGAAGATCTGAGAACAAGTATTGGAAATAAAGCTTTTAGGTTGAAAAGTTCATAAATATTCTTGGTAGTGCATATGAGAGGCTTTTGTGTGCAGAAAAATGACCTTGGTGTTATAGCATCAGGTTTGGATCTAGATGTAGTATCTCATGCTTTCTTAGTCAATAAAATACATGTACATAGGGAAAAACTTTCAGCCTATTTCAGATATGCTGTGGTTCCACATTTACATTAAATATCTCATCATGACTTTTTTTTTTCCCCCGAAAAGACCTGTATTTCCTAACTAGAATTTTTACCTCCCACAAATGTTGTGCAATGTACCGAGTGTTTGGCTACACACTGTTGTATTTAGATAGTTAGCCAAGAAATGAAAATATATGAACTTATTTTGAGTACTGATCTTTCTTGTCTGAATTTGTTTAGGTCTGCTGATTTGGTTGACAGCCTGCTGACCAGGCCTGGACAGCCCATAGTTGCACGGATACCTCCACCTATTTTGCCAAGACCATCACAGCAAACGGGAAGCAGTAGTCTGAGCACTTTCAGGCCAGCATATAGTAGTTCTTTTTCTCCAGGCTATGGTTCATATGGAACATCTTTTTATGGAAACTATAGTCCTTACAGTTACGGATATGGTGGCTTGGGTTATAACCGCTTTCGTGCAGATGATATTCCTCCCAGCAGGTTTGTTCAGCAGGCTGAAGAGAGCAGCAGAGGTGCATTTCAGTCCATTGAAAGTATTGTGCATGCCTTTGCCTCAGTCAGCATGATGATGGATGCTACCTTTTCAGCAGTGTACAACAGTTTCAGAGCTGTGTTGGATGTAGCCAATCACTTCTCCCGCCTCAAAGTACACTTCACAAAGGTGTTTTCAGCTTTTGCCTTAGTGAGAACTATAAGGTATCTCTACCAACGTCTACAACGATTGCTGGGTCTGCGGAAGAGCTCCGAGAATGAGGATTTGTGGGCTGAAAGTGAGGGGACAGTGGCTCGCGCTGGCCTTGAAGACAAGGTGGCTAACTCCGCAAAATCCTGGCCCATTTTCTTGTTCTTTGCTGTTATAATGGGAGGTCCCTATCTGATTTGGAAACTGCTTTCTACGTACAGTGATGAAGAAACAGGTAAAGATGATCTGTAGCTCGAGAGAAGTGCAGCATATGCTATTCCTTTTGTTATCACGTGTATAGCAATTAATCTTATACTAAAGTAATAGAAGTTAATAGATACTGGGGTACAATACTGAAATTTAGGCACGTGACATAAGTAACAGTCTGTATAAGTAGCCTGTTGTTGAGCTATGATGCAGTTTCATGGTTCTTTTCTATTAGATGTGGCAGCTGGGCGGGGCGAAAGTTATTGGTTGGATTGACTCAACAAATTATGCTTTGTTTGTTACTCCTGCAGTTCTCTATTGGAAAAGTTTTAGCAAGGAAGTTAATGTGTTTTCTTCGTTTTTCTTTAAAAAAAACCACCAAACTTTATAATTCAAAGCAGATAAACTTCTAATGTCTTTTTGGAAACAGTATCTAGTAAATGGGCAAGTGGAGAAGATGATCATGTAGTTGGAAGAGCAGAATATGATTTCAGTGCTCTCTCGGAAGAAGAACTTTCTTTCCGTGCTGGTGACATGCTAAAGTTAGCACCCAAAGGTAAACTTTAGTTTTGTATTTTATTTTCTAATTGCATGTGAAGTAAGTCATGTTGTTAGACTCTGAAAATGAAAACAAACAAAGAAACCACCTTATTTAACCGAACTCCTCATCCACACTGATTTTTTTTTTTTTTCCCCATAAGTTATTACTTGCATTGTAATAAAACTTATTGAGTAGTTTTGTTCAATTTCCCTAAGATATGACACAGCCTAAACTTACTTGAGGAGTGATTTGTGGTTACCCTTGTGGTTACCTTTTCCTCACATGTGCTGCACAACTGTGAAAATACGTAGGCATTTGCAGTACGGTGGTGTCATCGATTTCAGAACAATCTGCACTTCACAGTACTCTTCAGCTCACCTCACCAATGCAGATTCTAGTCATTTCTCTTGTGAAGTAGTTTGTATTTGGCTTTCATCACAGAGTTATCATCTCTGTATGATTACCTGTTGTGTCATCAGCCTTCTGGTGTATTTGTGCCTCAACTGCAATATATTTCAACTTGTTTTGTAACTTGATGCGTTTGCCTTTTCTTCTTCAGAACAACAACCCAAAATCCGTGGTTGGCTTTTGGCTAGTTATGATGGCCAAACCACAGGACTTGTGCCAGCTAATTACATCAAAATCCTGGGCAAAAGAAGAGGTAGGAAAAGAGCAGACCTGGAAAGGATTACACAGCAACGGCCATCCTTTACCAGCACATCTGTTAAAGGATCCACTGCTACTGTGACTTCAGAGGACCAGGAAGCTGCTTTTGATTCTGTTTTTGCTGGAAGTAATAAAGTTCCTGTTGCATCTGACTCCACTGTGGTTAGTGGAGAGAAACAGGAACTCTAATGCACTTTCATCAACAAAGCAACTGAACTGTGCTTTATTGATAAAACTTAGGATTTGTTGAAAATCTGTATTGTAGTGGAACACTGATGGGTCTGTACCAGTTATTGCTGCTACCGACTGGTGAAGGGATGGAGAAATGATTGCTCAAATTTGTAGTATTTATTTTTGACTCACCTAAGGCTGTACATTAGTGATTCTACCCGACCACCTGGCAGCAACTCTAATATCTTGAGACAAGGAGAATTGAGACATTTATAACAAAGCAAACAAACAAAAATATTAAACGGAGCCTGATGGCCCATTCTTCTTAGGGTGACAAACTGATGGTGAAATCTGGAGGTTAACATCCAGCCTTCATTGGAATGTTGGCTTGACAAGAGGCCTCTTCAATACATGTGCAAAGCGAAGATAGATTTCTGTAAGATGTCCTCCAAAACTGGATGCTGAGGACCATAAAATAGTAATACTGCATTGTTTCCCCCTGAAAAGAGAGAGAATTGGCAAGAGGTTTAGGTAACACAATTGAATCATTAGAAGTTCTAAGTTGCTTGCTTTTTGTAAGAAGTAGGGCTTCTGTCATAAAGACCTTAGCTCTTGTAAAAAAGGGACTTGTGAGAAAGGGAGGAGAAATAAAGTTTACAAAGGAAGAGCAGTGAGGCTTCAGCAGTAGTTCTAACCGGTTCTCTTTTTGTTTAATAAAAGACCATTAGAATAAAGGGTGTCCTGCGGTCAGGCACTTTCCAGCGCACTTATTGTTATTCCCTTCTGCAGTAAACTAACTTTGCATCACTCCTAGCTGTTTTGTGTTGTAGCCTGTTAACTGCCTATCAATAGTCTATCAACTACCATCTGCATCTCAACTTATTTCTGTTCTTTATTGGTTTTATATGAATGTCAAAATATCTATCCTGCCTTTTAGTGCAGTAGGAAAGCATTGGGTTGGAGGAAGTTTAATCCAGTGGCAAAGAAAAAATAACATTTCTTGCTTAATTGTCTCAGCTAAGGTCTTGGAGTTAACTCTTTATGCTGCCTTTCAGGTGGTAAATTTTGCATCTGTCCATGAAATTAGAGGGCTCTGGTTTCTAAAAAGCCATAAAAACATTAAGACTGTTCAAAGTATTTAGTATTTTCTTCATGTTGGTGTTTGAGAATTCTGTATTGAAATGCTGTTTTGGTTTTGTTTTTTTTCTTTAATGAAGCAAAGATAATTAAAACTTTTTTCCTTGTAGTACATATGTATAACATGTTGAGCTTCTGAAGGTTAGAGCAATGGATAAAATAACTAAAGCTTGTCTTAATCACTGAAATAGCTTTTCTTTTTTATTTTAAAGGTACTCAAAAGTATTACTAAAAGTAGGCCACGTGCCTTTGCTTAATTGATCCAGTGTTTTCAGTTTGACTGTTTCTACAGAAATCTTCAACACCCGTAATGTGTTAGCAGAGCTTTCAGTATTTATACTTCAGTTGCATTTGCTGGCCTTGAGATCTTAGAATTCTGTTCACCACAACAGAACTCTGACAAGAAAAATTGATGTGAGCACAGTTTTATTGAGGTAGAGTGGCTGAAAAGGTGGATATTATGCTGGAACCTTGGATTTTGAAGTAATCTCTGAATGCCTGTTGTTGATAATTAGAGCAAGAATTTAAGTGGTTGCGCTCAGGTATTGGGAGATGGTACAAAGAACCATTATTTTTATGAGATTGTAAAGGGCAAATGAGAAACTTGAAACTAGGTTTACTAAGTTTAAAACGGAACACGTTCCTGAGACATTTCCCTGTGTACCAGGGCATTGAAGAAAATTATCTATATTTGGAAATGACATCTGTTATTGAAATAAAAATAGCAAAAAAATCTGAAATACAAAATATAGAGAGGAAAGGGGGGTGGGGGGTATCAAGTGTACAGTTCTGCTTACAGTGTGTATTCCTGGAGGGAATTAATTTACTGTTGTGAGATCTAATTAATGGACTGTCAGCCTCTCTTGTGTCAGTGACAGTTTTCAACCAGAGGAAGGGTCTTTTAAATAAATGAATAAATAAACCCCAAAGTTTTTGTAGAGTATCCATTCAAGTAGGTTTCTGTCTTCCTACTCAGAACAAGTTGGGAAGACAGTACCATGATGTTTGTTGGAATCTTTAGATCGTACTAATTTTTGGAAAGATGAGTTTAATTTCACTTTCAGGTCATACTGTTTTGAAAACAATTCTTTTAGTAGGAAGCTAGGTTATTAATAACTTAACTGACTTGTCATTATAGTAGTTTGACTTAGTCTACCAATTGCTAACTGTCATATCTGTATCTGCTAAATCTTGACAAGAATTTTGATCCTTTTAATCTTGTGATTAATAGGAAAAGAAGGCTCTGAGGAAATGAATTTATTTAACTCACAATTAATTGTATGGATTGCAGAAGGGTATTAAAATTCATTGAAGTAAAATATATACTGTGCTTTAAGATTTTGATTTTTTTTTTTTTTTTAAAAGGCACAAACTAGCATCAGGAAAAAAATGGGAGTCCTACAATTTCCTTGTCTATGTTTCTGCCCATATGTCAGGTTACAGAAAAAACATCTAGATGAATGCTGATTGAAAAAGGGAGGCTGGTTGACAGGCTGCTCAAGACTTGCATAACTTTAGAAAGGTGAGAAAGCTAAAAGGAGCAGGTGTGGCTACAACAGGAGTATGTAGAAGAGATCAGAAAAGAAATGCTGTTGAAATATTGCTAAACTTACGCATTAGGCAATTGACTCTTAAGTTCTGTATGTACTAAGTTACCTTTATGTTACTTTTTGGAATGACTTATATACCTGTAGCTGACTTACAAGTCTGTAACAGACTTATGACATTTGTTTATATAAGGCTTTAGTTCAATCTTCAATCTTATTGATATTGTTTAGTATACCAACCATTTTATGCTTGAATACTATCTGAACTAATGACAGATGCCAGTTTTGGCTGGTTCTCTGGGTGCTAGCAGTATGTGAACATGCACACATTGAAAGCTTTGTTCAGGTTTCTGAATAATAAATATAAAATACTCTTGGTGTAGTAGAACTTAATAAAATCGTCTGCTTCTTTTGCACAGGTTCAAAAACTCTTCCTTCTGTGGAACTAGACTGCGTCTGAGCTAGCAAGATTGTTTTAGCTTATTTGGTGATCTTGGTGAAATTTGCTAGTGAGGTAATTACAAAGAAAATACAGTTTCTTATAAACCTGGCCTGTTTGCAATGAAAATTTTCCAGAAGAGGTACAAACTTGGAAACCAAAACAGTGATTCTCTTGATGCACCATTGTAGAAATACTTTTGTCCGCAATAGTAGTGGAATGGTGCTTATTTTACAAAACATAGATAACACAAAAGCATATGTTTTTAAGTAGCTCCTTCCAGTTTGTTTTATCCCTGCAGCTGTGGCCATGTGTTGGGATTGGCAAACATTTTTGGCCTGTAGTGGGAGGTAGTAATTGGGTGTGTCCACTGGTGGTGATACGCTTCCCCTCCCCCCCCCCCGGCCTTGTGTCTTGGGACCGGTTCTTCTGCAGACCAATTTGAAGTGGGTTTGGGATAAGTCTGTCTCTTGGATTCTGCGGGCTTTACCAAACACAGCCTTCAAGCAGCTGGATAATGTCTCCTTGAAATAAATGTGTTTGTATAACTGCTTTAACTAGTACCATAGGCATGACGTCAATGCGAGGCGCCCCTGCATCTTTCTTATCTACAGTTTTTAATGCTACTCTGAGATACTAAAGTTCCCAATTTCACAGTAGTCATAAAACTATAAGACTTGAGCAAGCAACATAGATCATTTATGCTGTGAAAGGGTATCTTTACAGTTTTTTGGTTTTAGAAATGAAGATACTTTAAATGCAAAAAGCTAGTTCCACTACCTTTGAATTATTGGTAACTGAACAAGCATAGTCTGTAGACTCTCAAATGAGTAAAATTTGAGATACTGATTTTTTTTTCTGAAATACTGATATTGGTATTTTTTTATTACTTAAGAACATAAAAAAGAGGGGACTGAACTTCTGCCTAACAGCAGAGGTTAATTAAAACACTATGTTGCCAGTTCTCTGACATACCGTCATCTTCCATTCATAGTGCAGTAAGTTAATGTCATAATAATATAGTAATACTGCATCAGTAGCTTGTTCTATGGATTGCTGTGGGACAGCATGAAATCAGGAGTGTTTTCTACTTTAAGTGAAACCCAAACGAAGCTTTCATATTGACTTAAAGAATTTAAATTTCATATACTTTTCTGGATTGGTGCAATCCTTTTTCTCAACTTTTCTGTGCTTTTTTGCATTCTCTGTTCTCATTATTTTACTCTAGCGTTTAGGGGTGGGTTTTGGGGAAGAAAACGTTTAATATCCGCCTGGCCGTGATTATCTCGGTGATTCCTGCCAAAATACCAAGGAGGAACAGAAGCTACACAGCATGATACAGTCAGAAAGAAGAATGTGAGGGGGGGCGGGGGGATTATTATATGTTGCATGTAGGAAAAAGGGATCTGGGCTGATTCATAGCCCGCACAGGTGGCTTCGAAAGGGAAGTAATTTTAAAATGTTCGGGAAGATTTCATGCAGTAGCAGACGTGCGGTAGGGAACAAACCAACAACAGATGAAATGGCAGGACTGGGAGTGTTTGACCCTTTGCAGAATAACTCTGGTTTGAGAGGAGCCTTGAACGGCTGCCAGTGGTTGGGCGGTTGCGTGCGATTAGCTCCAAGTCAGAAGTTCTGTTACTGCTTTTGTAGTTACGAGTGTATCACATATTTAGAGCGATGGATGCAGTGCGGTCTTCGCTACTAGTTTTAATGCAAATTCTTGCTTAATTAATTTGCTGTGCTTGTATCGTGGGACTAATTCTCGTATCTGATGCGTTATTTTGAAGGATGAGAAGAACTTCAGGTGCTAGGGCTCCCCAGGTTTTTCCTTCGCATTACCATGTTTGCGTGTGGGAACGTAATCGTGGGCTTCTGCTGAGAAAAGGGCATCGGGGTTATCCCTGGGGGGGGGGGGGGGGGGGGGGTTTGGGGGCAAAAAGCGCCGGCGGGGGGGGGGGGGGGGGAG